GGTCACTGGTGACTCTGGTGCTGCTGAGGGTGGTGAGGCTGGGGGTGCTGAGCCTGGGGGTGCTGGACCTTGGGGTGCGGAGCCTGGGGTTGCTGAGCCTGGGGGTGCGCTGTTTGGGGGTGCTGAGCCTAGGGGTGCTACGTCTGAGGGTGCTGAGCCTGGGGGTGCTGAGCCTGGGGGTGCTGAGCCGTGGGGTGCTGAGCCCGGGGGTGCTATGCCTGGGGGTGCTGAGCGTGGGGGGTCTCCGCCTGGCGGTTCTCCAGGTGCTTCGTCTCGCCGGGAGCCACTCTCTCCACAGGAGCTGCGCGAGTGGTTTGCCCGGCGCTGAGGCCGTACTGCTGGTGCTGGAGGTTCTTCGGCTGCTGAGGGTGCTGCTGTCGCGGGTCCCGGAGGTGCTCGTACTGGGAGTACTGGAGCTGCTGGGCCTGCGGGTTCCACTGGAGCTGGTGCTGCTGAGGGTGTTGGCGCTGAGACTACCGCTGGCGGTCCTGCTGCGGGTGCTCTTGGTGCTGCTGGAGGTTCTGGAGCTGCTGGAGGTGCTGCTGGAGCGGGTGCTCGTGCTGAGGGTACTAGTGATGTCAATGTTGCTTCTGGCGTCGCCACGCGGCCTCGACCGTACTTTGTTCCACTCCTGCAGCAGGTTCTTGGTCTTCCACCTTCTACTGGTCCTCCTCCTCCCTTAGAGTGTCCACAGCCTGTCCCGTCACAGTTACAGTTGAAGCCTACCTCCCCTTTGCCTGCGCCTTCTCCCTACACTGGTCCTACTGGAGGTCTTGCTGAGCCTCGTGAGCCTGCGTCCCGCCCTGCGTCGCCTGTCCGTGCTGCTCGCACTAGTGGTCGCGGTTCGCGTCAGCGTCCTCCTCCTGTCCCTGGCACGCACCGGATGTCTCTGCGTCCGTCCACTGCTCCTCTGCGTGCCCCTTTGCCTTCACCTCCTGAGTCCTCTCTTCTTGCTCTTCCCGACCCGGAGTCGGACTCTCTTCGTGCTGCCAGTCCTACTGTCACGCGTCTCCTTGCTACTGTCGTCACTGACCCTTCTTTTGAGTCTACTGCTGCGTCTGCTCTAGTTGCTGAGCTCGTCGACTTTGCTGCTCGCTATCGCTTAGACTACGCTGCTAGTCTTGTCGCTGAGTCTGAGTCTGTCTGTCCTCCGTCCGTCGGGGGTGAGTGTGCTCTTGGCACGGACGTCCTTGAGGACAGGCAGGAGGAGTTCCAGTGTCTGGCAGCTGCTTCATCTCATCTCGTGTCCGTACTGCTTACCCCTGAGGGAGACCCGGATGCACTTGACATCCCGACTCCGCGCTCTTACGCGGAGGCGATAGAGGGTCCCTACTCCTCTAAGTGGCAGGCAGCTATGGATCCAGAGATGTCTTCCTGGAAGTCCACAGGCACCTACGTTGACGCTGTTCCCCCTCCTGGGGCGAACATCGTCAGTGGCATGTGGATCTTCAGGGTGAAGCGGCCGCCGGGTTCTCCGCCTGTCTTCAAGGCGCGTTACGTGGCTCGTGGCTTCAGTCAGCGGCAGGGAGTTGACTACTTTCAGACCTTCTCCCCCACCCCGAAGATGACCACTCTTCGAAAACTTCTGCACGTTGCTGCTCACCGTGACTACGAGCTGCACTCTCTCCACTTCAGCACAGCTGTCTTGCAAGGCAGCCTGCACGAGGAGATCTGGCTGCGCCGCCCACTTGGCTTCACTGGGTCTTTCCCTCCTGGTACCTAGTGGAGTCTCCGGCGTCCAGTCTACGGTCTCCGCCAGGCGCCACGTGAGTGGCACGACACACTGAGGACTACGCTTGCGGCTCTTGGGTTTGCTCCTTCTACTGCCGACCCGTCGCTGTTTCTGCGCACCGACACCTCTCTGCCGCCGTTCTACATCCTCGTGTACGTCGACGACTTGGTCTTTGCCACAGCTGACACTGCTGGACTCGCCTACGTGAAGTCTAAGCTGCAGAAAAGACACACGTGCACTGACCTGGGTGAACTGCGTAGCTACCTTGGCTTGCAGATCACCCGGGACAGAGCACGCCGCACCATTACCCTGACTTAGTCACACATGGTGCAGCAGGTCCTTCAGCGCTTCGGCTTCACGTACTCCTCGCCTCAGGCCACTCCTCTGCCTACTCGCCACTCGCTCTCAGTTCTGCCTTCGGATGAGTCCGTAGAGTCGAGTGGCCCGTACCCAGAGCTTGTTGGCTGCCTCATGTACCTGATGACCTGCACACGACCTGACCTTGCATACCCTCTTAGCATTCTAGCACGCTATGTTGCTCCTGGGAGACACCAACCAGAGCACATGGCTGCAGCGAAGAGGGTGTTGCGCTACTTGTGCAGTACGTCGGGCATGGGGCTAGTGCTTGGAGGGCGGAGTCCAGTAGTCCTTACTGGGCACGCGGACGCTTCTTGGGCTGACGACCAGGCTACGCAGCGGTCGTCACAGGGTTACACCTTCAGCCTTGGTTCCGGCTCTGTTTCGTGGCGAGCTACTCGCTCGTCTTCTGTTCTCGGCTCCAGTTGTGAGGCTGAGATCTACGCCGGGGCCATGACTGCACAGGAGCTTCGCTGGCTCACCTACCTGCTGACCGACCTTGGAGAGCAGCCTCGTTCTCCTCCAGTCCTATACGTAGACAACAAGGCCATGCTGGCCTTGTGTCGAGAGCAGCGACTGGAGCACAAAACAAAGCACATTGCTCTCCGCTACTTCCTTGCTCGTGAGCTACAGCAGCGTGGACAGTTGCGGCTTGCGTACGTGGCCTCTGAGGCCAACACTGCTGATGTGTTCACCAAGGCACTTGCGCCTTGTGATCATCAGCGCTTCTGCACTCAGTTGGGTCTTTTGCCTGTCTTGCCTCACTTGCTCACCTCTTGACCTTGCTTGTACTGTCACATATATATATACCTGCTCGTGCTTGTCTAGCTTTATATATATGTGTGTACTCTTGCATGTGAACTGGCCTTGTGGCCTTGTCGTTGTGCTCGGACTGTGTGGTGACTTTGTGATCCACCCTGAGCTTGCTTTGCTTTGCTTGACTGGTCTTGTGACCCCTTGTTCTCCCCCACTTTGCCTATGGGGGTGTGTTAGAACATTATATAGCTTATACATTTGTGTAGGCTATAGTGGGGTATCCCATAGGGGGTACAACCCAATTAGGGTTAGTACTTGTACTCACTCATTTCATAGTTCATTCATTCTCGTTCTCATTCTCACAATGCCGGTACACGCAATCGTGTGCCGGACGTCACTTTCCGAATGTCGTAGATTTCGGACATGGCAGTGCGAAGGATTCCTGAGTCGCTCTCATACCATGCTGCGATCAAAAGGTGACCGCTCCTAGGATCTCCTCAGGAAGGTTCGCACACAGCTAGGTAGTGGTGGTGTGCCCTTGACCTCAATAGCAGAGTGAATGTAAAATGCTTGAGATGATTAAAACATGCAAATACAAAGATATAAATATGATTGCAGGGGAATTCGAATTGACCTAGCTAGCCACGTACTCTAAGGGGTACTTTTCTTATTCAAATTCATTCTCAACCGTGCGGCGCGTACATTTACGAAACTGTTCCTGCCAGATTCCTCTTGCTTGCAGCTGCCCAATGTCGTCTGCTACGACGGTCGAGATGCACCCTAACTGTCTGTCGCTTCGAGTCAATTCTGACTCCTCGCATTCATTCTTGATACTGCGTGCTTCCCCCAGCTGCGGCTAGGAATGCACAGTAATGTTTCATTCATTATTCGTAACAATTTCTGCCCTCCTCTCATACCTACCCTCCTCTTATGCCTGTCCTCCTCTTATGCCTATCTTTGTCTCATTTGTGTCAACCAAACCAGGGTGTTTTTTCCATGCACCTCACCTGCCCTTTTCCCATGCCGTCAAGAGGCCCAGTGGGGCTCAGGTTTGGTTTTTACCTACTCACGATTAGCAGTGTATACATTTTCAAAACCCTTTTGAGCAGTGTGTCTTTTTTGGTAACACTGATGGATAAGTGTAATTTGAAGTTTTGAAAACTTTACCCAGAGGCATCAGTGTAGGTATATTTTTTACCCTGATTGTATTGTAGGTGCTAGCAGCAACCAAGTTGGAGGCCCAAATTGCGCAAGATGGGCACTGGTGGGTGGTGGTTGTTGTGAAAGTCAAGCGCAGTAGCTTCTCTAGTTTCATTGAGTCAGCAAGCTTCCCCGGGGGGGGGGGGGGGGGGGGGGGAACATGTGTTTGGGGACCTCGATCGAGTGGAGTCGAGGGAATTGAAGTCCTGCACTGAGAGCAGCTTCGACCAATCAGGTTGCAGTTTTTGCTTCATGTAGGTTGCAAGCAGACACGGAGTGACGCGGTGTTGGTCGCAGTACTCACGTGCTGCCGTCGTAGTGCATCATTGCGAAATTAGGTGTACCGTTTTAAAATTTCGGAGAACAATCTCGATAGGTATAGTTTCCGAAAGGAGGGGGGGGGGGGGGGGGGGGGGGAGGGGGGTTCCCTGTACGCTCTTCAGGGTAATCTTTGCTAAGGAAAATTTTACCCCAGAGCATTAGTGTGGCCTCAATCATTACACTGACATATCAGTGTAACACTAATCTCCCAAAATTTTACCCCTGCCCATCAAGGTAGACTGAAAATTTCACCCTTCTCATCAGTGGAGAAGGGTAAATTACACTTCAAACCCGAGCCCAGCCCATGTCTTCCTCTTCACCTCTGTTCCCCACCCCAATGAAGAAAATGCTCGCGTGATGGTCTCTACCAAATCACTGCCACTCATGCACCTTGGATTAGGTGATACGGCGTGCAATTTTGTTCACACAAACTGCGTTCTATCCATTTTCTTTGGATTACAAGGATCACAATTTAGACAACATGCTGCATCCAAACCCAGGCACGCACGCTGCATCTAAGCCCCCCCCACATGCACATGGTCACTTCCCCAAGCAGCCGTGCACCTGCTGCACTCCACACATCCATCTTTCTCTAGCACGCATGTTGAGCCGTGCACGATCACCATTCCATGCCTCACTGCTCCCATGCATGCCCACCCACATACTTCACACCCGTTGCCTTCACTCCTTCACTCTCAGTCTAGTCACAACTCTTCCATCATCACACCCTGCGATCCTACTTGCCTATACGCCTGTGTACTTTATCATCAATAAGGCACCCCCCTTCTGGAGGACAGAGATACGTCATCTTGGTCAAGGCAGTGAGCTGCTCCAGCCCATCATTTGTGACTGCCGTTCCATTCAGCCAAAGCTTCTCTAGCTCATTGAGCCTCCCCACATCCGCCATGCCAGCATTTGTCACACCCTTACACTCACCAAGCCCTAGCTCTTTAAGAGAGGACATACGGGTCAAGTGCGGCAAAATAGCATCAGTCACCTTGGTCCGCGTGAGATATAGGTGTTTGAGACTAACCATGGTCCCAATGCCTTCCAAGGCAATTTTCGAGACGTCTCTGTCGTTGAGGTTTAGCGTCTCCAGCCATGGCATCCTGTAGAGGTGCTTGATACCCTCTGCACTAAAGCCTGAGCTACAATACAAGATAATACCCTTCAGATGCGTCATTGTGGACACATGGGCGAGGATGGCGTCTGAGAGGCCGTTGAGATGCATCAAACTCATATCGGTAACTCGTGATGCCGACTTCATTCTCTGGAGGTGATGAATGACGAGGAAATGAATGACAAGAAAAAGAATGACCACTGTGAAAACATTAAACAAAGCATGCCCTGTCAATCAATGCATGCCCTGTCAAACAGTTCACTCGCACGTACCTCCCATGCAGTCTTCATGTCACCTTCACTTTGGCTGATTCCCTTTTCAACATTCACCCAATTCCTGCAGGCTGTCAATTCCTCCATAACCCCTGGCCAACAGCTTCTGCACCTCCCTCCTCCTCTCCTCCCTCTCCCTTTCCAATCCAGCTCTCATTTCATCCCGTCCTTTTCTGGCCTCGTCTCTAACCTCTCTTGAAACCAATTCTAGTTTTCTGTCAGCCATATCCCATTTCTCTGTCATAGCATCCTTGTGTTCAACAAGCTCCCCCTTCATTGCAGCCAACTCTACAGTCAGCGCTCCCTTCACAGCTGCCAACTTCGCAATCAGCTCTCGCTCCCTGTCCTCCACCTGCAATCTCATCTCCCTCTTGTCCACCACTCGTTTCTTATCAGCCTCCTCTAACGCCCTTCTTGTCTCTTCCACCTGTCCGCGCAGCTCTCTCAAGTTCTCTGCCTTTCTCCTACCAGCCTCCTCTAACGCCCTCCTTGTCTCTTCCACCTGTCCGCGCAGCTCTCTCAAGTTCTCTGCCTTTCTCCTATCAGCCACCTCTAATGCCCGCCTTGTCTCTTCCACCTGTCCGCGCAGCTCTCTCAAGCTCTCTGCATTTTTCTTATCAGCCTCCTCTAACGCCCGCCTTGTCTCTTGCACCTTTCCGCGCAGCTCTCTCAAGTTCTCTGCATTTTTCTTATCAGCCTCCTCTAACGCCCTCCTTGTCTCTTCCACCAGCACGCCCAACGCCCCTATTCTCATCTCCATCGCCTCTTGTGTTCCAACCATCCTCAAAATGACAGTAATGACAACATTACCCCGTTTTGCAACCCTAGAACTGACATGCTTCCTGGACATGGCAGCAGGGATGGAGATGAGGAGAAGGGGAAGTTAGGGGGAATTACTGCAAGAGGAGAACTGGAAGAAAGAGGAAGTCTGGACAGCAAGGGTGTAAACGAGCAGCAAGAACCCAGCTTTATGAATAAAGAAACATGCAAAAGAAGATGCTGATTCTAATGTCAAATGAGAAGAAAACGCGCGAAGTTTTTCTAAAACACAGGACTTGGATACGAAAACTGCTGACAGAAATGAGAAACGGCAAGAACGAGATGATGAGATGTCCAGTAAAGACAGTAGCGAATGAGACAAATAGAGCAGTCAGCGAGCATGAGATGTCGGTAGAGGATGATGTGTGGGTATCACATGCCAACATATGATCAGTACAGAAACAATACACTGTACACCATGACATGCACATCAACAAACACATATCTAAGGTGAAAGGACATGCTCATACGTAGCATGAGGATGGGATAGAACGATGGTGAGGAAGGGCATGCTCACATGGAACTGTGCAGCCAAGGTAAGATTCCACGTGGCTGCAGCACGGTGGACAAGCCGAGGAAGGGAAGAGGGATGACGGAAGTGGAGGAGAGCAGAGGATGAGGGACGGAAGAGCAATGCAGCAGCATGAGAAACATGCGTAAGGGCACAAACGAAAGGTGGGCGAGAGCTGAAAAGGAAGGGGGGGAGAGGTTTAGCAAAGTGATAAGCCTGCAGAGTTGAGACAAGGGAGGGAGACGAGCAGCAGCATGGGGGAGATGAGTGCGCACAAAAGGGAGGGAGAGCCCATGGGAAGAGGGGACAGGGAGGGAGATGAAAGACTGGCAGAGAAGCAAAGCTGCACGGTTAGAGAGCAGAGCACACAGCATACCACGAGGCCCTTGCTGGCACTCTTCAGCTTCATCAGCCCAGCCATCACAGCCAAGCCCTGCTGATGCACCCATGCTCTGACTTGTATGAGGGTCACACCCATCCACCACAGCAGTGCTACAAGCGTGGTGATGGCAGAATACAGTAGATGAATTGAACCCGGGAACTGCAGACGAGGAACAATATGCCAGGGGCATAAGCCGTGGTGGCACTTGAGAAAGAACATAAGGGAGGGCAAGGTTACAATTGCAAGGAAAAAACTGAGATAAGATATTCTGACACAGATCTTGGTTGCAGAAGGGTAGCAAACACAGAAGCCTCACTTTTCCCAAAACGCACCAGGGTGTGTAGGGAGTGAAAAGGCACGTCGAGAGCGTGGGCATGCTGAGAGGCAGTAATTGCGTGGGTATTACCGGGAGTTCCGGGCGTAGCCTTTGCCTGAGACGCAGAAAACAAATTCATGCAAGAAAAGAGGAAGAGTGCACACAAACTCATGCAAATCCACGCAGACAGAAATATAAGATTCACTAATCCTGCATAAGCGACTGAAATGTGCGGCATGATAGAGCTTACATGCTGGAGGGAAGGAGAGGGCAGCATGGGAGTGTGATTGACTTGCTGGCTGTCAGTGTCACGTGGTAGGTGCAGAGGCAACAAGCAGGGAAGGAGAGCAGCATAGAGAGGACAGGGGCAAGCTGTGAGCGATGTAAGGACTTATTGCAAGAATCATGGCACGGCACGACGATGTGTCAGCATGGCATGGCAGTGACCACTCACGTCCTTGGGGGTCGGGGCATGGGAATAAAGATCCCTGCCAAGTGGCACAACGGTAATGACTGAGATGGCAGCGCCGAGAAAGAAAGTTATCAGAAATCCTGCCATCATCACGGCCACTACAGTCATCTGAGCCATGGCTGATGGGGCACGCTGAATGCAAAACGTCGTCTGCACAGTGAGGTACGGCAGGAGCAGGGGAGGGAGCGGTAGAGCAGTAGGGCAAGTGGGGGAAGTGGGGTAGAGGCGGAATGAGTGGCAGAGCAACTGGGCTGCACAGAGAGGTGTGACTGGGAAATTGAGGGGAGGGGAGTTGGACGAGCAGGGGAGGGGGAGGAGCGCCAGTAGCAGGAGAAGACGACAGCAGGTAGGAAGGAACAAGTGCGAGGTTGGGTACTGAGTGTATGGTGGGGCGAGGTGTGAAGTTTGGGAGACAAAAAACACCAACGTGCAGCACTGATTGAAACCCTCTAGCGAGACCATTGCCAGCATGTGCAAAAAGAGCAGAAGCAGAATAAGAAACGCATGAAGCTGAATAAGTTTCTCAAAACTATGTATCGCCACTCAAAGTTGAAAGAGCTACTGAAAGAGCTACTGAACGTAAGTTGAGTTGAAGAGTGGGGTCCGAACCTCAACCTGCGTAGTGGTTGAGTTGACGTATGTTTCGAGGGTGAGCGTGCGACATTTATTGGTCCTGTGGGACATGTTGATTGGTTGACGATAGTGTTTTCGTTTGTTTCTATTTGCTCTGCAGATCGATGCGAAATCGTAGGCGAATTTTTCCTGAAATCTTCGGTTGCTGATTGATGGATGCATTTAGGCGAAACTTTACGTTACCTGACAGTGAGTGTTGTGTCGATACATAATTGGGTGCGTTCAAATGTGTGTCAGAGAAATTTCGACACATGGCAGGATTTCCAGCTTTTTGGTTGACACGGTGGCGCTTTTTCCAATTGACACCATGCCCTTGCATATTTTTCTTTGCGATTTTATTGGTCAGGAATATCTGACGTGCTACAATTTCTCGCGACATGCTGTCGCAATTGTATTGGTTGGATTATGAACTCGTTACCCGTGATTCGATATATTACTTGAAACGTGTGTTTCTTTATAAATTATTTCCGCTGTTAGAGGCATTGTGAAACAACATTATCGACATCGAATTGCAAACATGTGCTCATAAATAAAATATGCCCGTTATCGGCACAGTTCAATTAAAGTTACGGCTCTTTTTAGGCATATATCCGTTGTCTGTATAACCATTATGTACATATGAATAAACATTGCATTGAAATTAACAATATTCGATTGCACATGTGCAATATCATTAGTAATAATATTTTGCAGCATGCAAATAAGCAACTAAATCATATTTCTTGACAATACACTACCTAGCAATCTACTAGCAATTTCAAGGCAACCTCAGAAAGTAACATCGACGTAGGAGTTCCGACCATTTTCGGATGGAAAACCATCCGCTGCTATAATGCTTTAACCGGGAGCTGCACATTGAAACTGATGTCAATGAAAAAAAAAAACAAGAGGCGACGAAATCGTCTTAGGGTTGCGAAGCTGTTTTGCCATTTTTAGTATTTGGATTGGTTTTCATCTTACACTCCTAAAAGAATGCTTCTTCAGTTGAAGTTGGTAAAACAATCGCACCAAGAATCGAACCTGTAATCTTCTAATCGCAAAGTTTACCTTGAACGAAATGTTGGTTTTATTTTCTAAGTAAAAATTTATTGCGCGTGAGCAGATCTAGGGTTTCGTTTTCATTTTCCTCTCTTCCTCTCGCGACTTGCCTCCTCCTGGTGGAGTTTGCTTGATACCCTCTCGCTGTTCAAGCTCTACCTACCACTTCAAGGTGAGGAAGATAGAAGCTATTAACTAGAACTAACTAGATGATTATTAGCTAGACTCGGTTTTCGTCATCTCTTCGGTTTTGGTCGACGAAATCGTGATTACGTTTCGAGATTTCGTTTTTCCTTCCTCTGAATCTCTCTCCTTTCGGCACGCTACTCTCACCTACCACGGTTCTTTCGATTTGTCTATGCACTAGTAGATCTACATCAAGATTTTTCTCTCTTTTGTTTCTCCCGTTCCTGATCTCCCTTGGTTAGTTTTTTAAGACCTTTCCAACTTTCTGTTTTGTTATCTTGCCTTCGTTTTTGTTACCTCTGTTCTGTCGCCTATTCAGGTTTCCGTATTTTCTTCTCAAAAACTTCTATCTTAATCCGCTATGTTTATCTCTCTTCACCGTTTCCCTCCGTTTGTGTCTCTCTTTCGTTTCCCCTGTTTTATCCTTCCACTGTCGTCGTTCTGTTAGTGCTTGGCATGCTGGCGACTTTTTGCTCGTGCCAGGCGCGCTATCCGCGGCGACAACACCACGCTCTCCATCTCCAGGCGTGCTATCCGCGGCTGTTGCAGCAACAAAGTCGGCAGAATTGGTGAGAGAAGAGCGTGTGAAAGAAATAGAATTAGTGATGGAGTGGGGAAGAGAGTAGAGGAGAGAATGAGTGTGGAAAGAGAGTAAAATAGAAGTTTGTACTAGTATTCGCTTGCCCCTTTTCTTTCTCGTTTTTTGTAGATGTGTTTTTTGGCCTCACCTTCATAGCTCCTTAGCTGTCCATTCCTTTCTCTATCATTATTCATTTTCATAAGAGAGAGCAATGTAAAATGAGAGAGCGTCTGATTTCCTAGTTTTTTCTTTCGTCATTTATTCAGCTATGCACAATCTAGGCGTAGCTATTTGAGTTCGTAGCTAAGTGCATTTTGTTTTTAAATTCCCTTCCTTTCGCATTTCATCTGTTTCTCTTACCCGCTCCTCTTTCCATCTTCATCTTAACGTTAGTCTTATTCGTTAGCCATTAACTTCTCTTGCACCTAGTTCCCTGCCACTATTCGTTTCTCCTGGTACGAATTTGTTTTCTTCCATGGCTATCTTTGTTGTACAATTATGCATCTTATTCCCATTGTTCCATATTTGTCTTTCTTGTTTCTTTCTGTTGCTGATGCTTTCCTAACAGGCCTTGTTGTTTTCTTCAGGAAGTGAAGGTTAATCTGGATGGTGCAAAGATACAAATTGTTCTTTGTGTTAGAACATTATCTTATGCTCTAGCCTGTAGTGGGGTGCTCTATAGCGAGTACAACCCTTCTAGGGTTTTGCTATTTGTATCCTCATTCCTGCTAGTTCAACCTCTTTTTCTTTCTTCTAATTTTGTCATGCTATCAGAGCAGGTCGATCCCCTTGGATCGATCCTGTGGGTGGGTTACCACCTCCACGCTTCCGCTACAACTTTTTCTTCCCGCCGTGCGCCCCGAATCGCGCGGCGGTTTTCTGCGCGCCGTGCGCCCCGAGGCGCGCGGCGGTTCTCTGCCCGCTGTGCGCCCCGAGGCGCGCGGCGGGCTTCTGCCTCGTCGCTCGGCGCGTCGCCCTCGGGAGGCGCTGCGACGGGCGGCGGGGACCCGCGCGCCGGCCCCGCGCCGCTGCCCCGGCCCGTCGACGCCCGTGCGCCGCTGCCCCGGCTCGTCGACGCCCGTGCGCCGTCAGCCCTGGCCCGTCGCAGCCCGTGCGCCGTCCGTCCCGGCCCCGCGCAGCTGCTCCGGCCCGTCGCCGCCCGTGCGCTGTCCGTCCCGGCCCCGCGCAGCTGCCCCGGCCCGTCGCCGCCAGTGTGCCACCTGCCCCGGCCCGTCGCCGCCCGTGCGCCGCCCGTCCCGGCCCCATGCCGCTGTCCCGGCCCCTGCCCCGCCTGCGGCTTGCGGCCCCCGAGGGTCGCCTCGACACGCGACAGGAGGACTTACCTGGGGGAGGGGGGCGAGCGCCGCCCCCCTTCTGCTGCCTGTCTTGGCGCCCTGGGAGGCCGCGCGTCGAGTATGGGGGTGGTGGGTGTGTGGTCATTCCTCCCTTTGCTCCTCCTCCTCCTTCGTCTCCCACTGCTGCAGCTGTCGCTGAGGGGGGTGGATGTGTGGGAGACTGGGGTTTAGGGTTTAAGGGGGGGTGCGTGGGAGTGGAGCTAGCGGTGTAGCAGCGAGTGTGTATCAGGGGGGTGGGACTGTTTGCGGGAGGTTGAGCGGAGGCTGCCAGCTTGTTGTCCTCAGCACCTGTAGTCCGGGGCGTTGTCCCGGTAGCCCAGTTAGCTTGTCGCTGCGCCAGTCGCCTGTGGGTCCGTAGCTCCTGCCGCTCGTCTTAGCCGCGGAGCCAGTTACTCCTGTAGTCCGGCCGCTTAGTCCGGTAGCCACTGTGCTCGCCACTCCTGTTGCCCGTGTGTCTGCAGCTTCAGCCGCCGCCTTCTATCTCCTCTCCTCTCACTCTCCCTCCTCCTCCTCACTTGCCCGTTGTGACTACCACTAGCTTTGCTGATAATTGTGCACTTTAAGTATTGCTTCTTGAACTTGTGCTCAGAATGTGTGGTGACATTGTGAT